TAGATGGCGGTGGTTGCTCCACAACATTGTGAGTATACTAAAATCCACTGAATTTTTCACTTTAAAATGGTTGTGTTATGTGAGTTTCACCTTAATTTTAAAAGGGATAAACAGGGCCCAGCCCTGAATAGGTCCCAGGCAGAGACAAACCAGCCATCAGGGCGCATTTGTGCACAGCTTGTGACTTGGGGATGTGGATAAGGCGCACTAAGGACTGAGTGCTCTCCAGAAGACAGGCAAGTAGGAAACCATATTTGTTTTTTAAAGGCTCACCGGGAGGTTAAAAGAGGCGTTAATCAGTGTCTTAAACACAAAGAGGGCACAGTGGAGAACAGCCCTTATCCTGAGGGACGGGACCAGGTCAGTGTGCTGACGGCCACCATGGACCCAGCAGGAGGACAGCAGCGAAGATCAGGGCTGGCGGGTGTTCTGCCTCAGCTGCGGTCTGATCTTCAGGGCTGGCGGGTGTTCTGCCTCAGCTGCCCACCTCAGCCGGCAGGAAGTGCTTTTCAGGCCAGAAGCCAAGGACCCAGCTCCTGAATGGAAAACTCTCCAACCAAACAAAATTCACAACCTCCAGGTGGCACAGGAACCAGAGGCACAGTGACCCAGACCTCATTGTGTGATGATGCAGGTGTGAAATGTCCAACACAGGCCAATCTATAGCGACCTTAGATTCACAGAGGCCTGGAACAGGGAAGGACACAGGGGCTCTCAGCGAAAGGGCGGAAGGATCTCACTGGGGGTGATGCAAATGTCCGAAAAAGGGAGGGTGCTAAAGACCACACAACAAGGTAAATTTACTGAAAATGATCAGATTGTACATGAGAATTATTTAAAAGTGTTGGTGTCCAGTAGCAGGAAAGGATGTTCTGCACACTTGAGACTGTGACAGTGAGTGACAGCGTCAAACTCACACCTGTCCCCTCGCGCAGGGCCCAGAGCTGCGGAAATTCCCAGCCCCCCCGGGGAGGACCAGGGGGTGGATTAGGACAAAAGCAGTTTAATCTGGCTTCAGCGCATGCATTAAACCAGGAAGGAACTAGAGTCCTTAAGGACAGAACTGCCTAGGTGTGCCACCTGGAGGGGCTTTCCCTTTCACCTACCTGCGGGGGGAAAAAAATTTTTTTTAACTTAAATTTTGTTTTTAATATACTAAAAACAGGACCAAAAAAATATATATATTTTTTAGAAAACAAATTTGCTGATTTGGGGATGTGAGCGCTGCCGTGTGTATTATAGTGCTTCTCAGGCTTTTTGGTTTTGTTTTTTTTAATTGGGGAATTGGGGAAGGAGACCAGCCAAGTTGTTGGTTTTCAATTTTTTTTTTTTTTTTTTTTTTTTAAGATTTTTATTGGGGAATTGGGGGGAGGGGAACAGACAAGTTGCTGTCGTTTTTTGTTCTTCAATCTAGTTGTGGAGGATGTTGCTTCACTGGCCCAAGTTGGCACCATCATTGTGCTCTTCTCTGGCGAGGCAGATCAGTCGCCGGCTTCTGGACGGCCGCTCACTGCGGCTGCTGGCCGCTCACGCTGGCTGCTGGCCACACATGGTAGCCCATGGCAACCCACTGCCACAGGGACTGCAGCCCACGCCGTCGCCGGCGACTCAGGGCAGACCAGCTCCAGGTTGAGCTGTTGTTCAGCATCTTAGCTGTAGAGGGCAGTGTCACTGGCCCTCATATGTGGGATCCGAACCGGGGCCCTCTGGCATCCCAAGCGAGTTCTTAACCATCGCGCCACTCGGCCGGCCCTGGTTTTCAATTTTAGTTGTGGAGGGCGCCAGTCGCCATCTGGCTGCCCATAGGCAGCTCATGGCCTCTAAGCTCAAGGTGCTGCGTTACAATCTTAGTTGCGGGTAGGCGTAGCCACCATCCCAAGCGGGAGTTGAACCAGCAGCCTTGTTAAGAGTGCACACTCTATCCACTAAGCCATCCAGGCGGCAGCTCAGCTCAAGGTGCCAAGTTCAGTCTTACTTGTGGGTGGGTCTAGCCACCATCAAACAGGCAGTCTTGTTAGGAGCACGTGCTCTCACCAGCTGAGCCATCCTGCCACCTGTTGGCAGCTCAGCTCCTGAGCAGTGTCACTGGCCCACGTGGGAATCCAACTGGTGGCCCTGTTGCTCAGAGCTCATGCTCTTAAGCTAACTTTTAACCAACTGAGCCACTTGGCTGGCCCTCTCAGGTTTTTAACTTCAAAATTAACCCAATAGTCTAGGTGTAGGGGCCCTGCAGAAATGACAGAGGTAGCTGTATTATTAAGATTATTTCAGTTTAAGTCTCCTCCTTCCCACTTGGCTTCCTTAGGCCTCTGTCTAGGAAGTTAATAGGATTTTCTTTTATAAATGAAAGCAAATTAAATCTTTCTCTGTGTTGCAAATATTTCTCACCCCACCCTCACTCACCTCCTCATCCACAGTCCTTGATCGGTCTGGATGTTTCTTTTTTTGTAAACCCTTTCTAGGTCCCACCCATTGCTCCTAGCCTCAGTAAACTCCACCGGGCCAGGTCGGCCTTTCTGGTGACTGAATGGGATCCTGCCACTGCCCCTCCCCCACATGAAAGGGCTCCTCATTTCCTCTCAATCAAGTCAGGAGAGCTAAACTGCTGGGATCTGTCTTGCCAGGGATCTCCCTCAGTCTCCACCCTATCATCTTGTACAAGGAAGCATTTTTCTAGGACATGCTTAGTGTCTGACCTCTGGGTCAAGGGGAAACACCTGGCAGACTGAGGTGTTGGGTCTTGGACTCTGCATCACATACTTGGCACAGCCCAGACCCATTAGGAGAGCGCTGGGCTTTACTCTGCCACAGTGGGAGATCCTGCCTGAGGAGCTGGCCTAGTAGCAATGGAGGGTGGAAGGAGGTTGGGGACCCTGACTGAGATCAGATCTGGCTGAGCCTTCTGCCTTCTAACCTAAGCCTTGGGGGTGGAGGTTTGGGGTTCTGTCTCTGCCAGCAGAGGAGACCTAGCCACTCAGGAGCTCAATTTCTTCTGCTCTCTGTGATCCTTGTGACCTCACAGGTTCTTCCCTGGATGGACAGCCAGTGTGGCCTGCCCCTTGTTATCCCCCACTACCTCCAAGACTCTCGAACAAGGAATTTTCAATATTTGCAGGCCACATTGGCCCCTCCCTGTCTTATTAAACCTGTGCTCTAAGCTACACTATTTTCCCAAATGCCCTCACAACCACAGTGACAAAAGTCTTTGGACAGAAAAGCAAAACATGTTTTCTAGAGGCATGTGATGCTGGAGGCCGCAGCTCCCACCTCTTTTGTTGCCTGAAAAGAGTAACTGTTTGAATTTCTCCCTCCTGTCTCCCACACCCTCCCTCCTCAGAGTCCTCACACATGCCTTTCCACCTGCTCTGATGCTGTTCCAGTAATGTGTTTAGACAGTTGGTTCCCCCTCTCACCCACAAGTCCCTCTGCTTGTAGGATGAGTGAAAGACCACTAAGATGCCTGATAAATGCTGGTAAGGCAGACTTGAAGCATTTGTCAAGAGAGAGGCAATGGGAAGGCATTCATCAGATGAGGAAACAGTGGCATTTTTCAGACACTTTCTGTGTGGAGGCTCTGAGTCTCTGGCAGCTGTATTTGTTTTCTGTCACTACTTAACAAATTACCACAAACTCAGTAGCTTAAAACACCCATTTATTAGGTCACTGTTCTGTAGGTAAGAAGCCTAGGCAGCATCCTCTGCTCCAGTTCCCACAAAGGCTGCAGTCAAGTTGCAGGAAGGTCTGGGCTCTTATCTGGAAGCTCTGGGGGGAAATTGGCTTCCCAGCTCATTCAGATTGTTGGCAGAACCCACTTCCATGCAGTTGTAAGACAGGTCCCTATGTTCTTGCTGGTTGTCATCCAAGGCTCTTCTCAGATTCTAGAGCCCACCATCACCCTCATATTCCTTGTCACATGGACCCTCCACCTCCAAAGTCCCTGGAGTCCTACTTCAAGTCTGTCTGCTTTCCTCTGCTGCCTTTAAGGACCCTTGTGACTACCCTGGGCCTACCCAAACAATTCAGGATTGTCTCCATATTTTGAGGTCAGCTGATCAAGAACCTTAATTATAGCTGCCATGTTCTGGGGATTTGAGCAAGGGATGATCTTGGGGGAGGGGCATTTTACCTCCACTACATCGGATGACTTACGATGCCCCAGAATCTATGGAATCAGATCTAGGCCATGGTAAAGCAGTTGTTGGCACCTGTTAGGTTGTAGGGGCAGCAACTATCTGTCAAGGTGAAGGACACAGATGAAACCGTGTCCTCATAGGCACTATGATAGAAGATGGGGGGGCTTGGGCCGGCCGAGTGGCTCAGTTGGTTAAGAGCTTGCCCAAGAGCTGTGCCCTCCACAACTAAGACTGAAGGACAACTTGGCTGTTCCCCTCTCCCAATTCCCCAATAAAAATCTTCAAAAAAAAAAAAAGTTGAGGGGGCTTGAAGTCAAGGAGGTTCCCTGGGGAAGGTGGTGGCAGCTGAGCTGTGTGAGAGGGTGCTTCAGACATAGGGAACTTCAAGGACTGGCCTTGAAGTGGGAACAGAAAGGGGCCTGTGAGGCCAGAGAGGAATGATCAGTAATAGGAATTGGGGAGGAAAGGAATCAAGAGGGGTCACTGAGGTTGGATGGAGCAGACCTAGTGGGCTAGGCAGGCCACTGTGAGGGGCCCCCATTCTGAACAAAGACAATGAGGCCATTACACTTGGGTTTTCATAAGGTTTCTCAGGTCATGGCCCACAGAGTGGGCTGCCAGTGTGGGTGGTCATTCCCCGTTTTGTATATCCCCTGTCCTCCATGACCTTTAACACATGCCCAGCAGCTACTAGAGGTGGAGACAGGCATTCTGACCTTGCACCCATACTGAAGGCTGAGGAGCCAGCGCCCCCCCCACCCCCCACCCCCGCTCCTGGACTCCACACCTGCTGTATAAGGCATGGGGTCCACTAAAGTCCCGGGGGATCTTCTGACCTTGAGGTCCAGGCCCTCCTGCCTCCCTCCAGCCCCCATGAGTAGAGCATAAGGCCAGGCCAGCCCACCACTCCAGCCTCACCATCTAGTGGCCATGGTTCATGCATGTCCTGGACTGCCAGCCCCATCTTAAGGTCCCTGCAGACTAGGCTGTTTCCTGTGTCTAGACAGCTGTTCCAACAGATTCTGTCCCATGTGACTTCCAGTCTCTGGACTGGCTGCTCACCCACCCTCCTGGCAGAGGTACCAGCCATGTCATCCCCCAACTTCCTTTCTTTTCTGAGCTCCGGCCCACAGTGGTGTGCAGAAGGCGTTCAGTTCGATATCACTTCATTTATTGGTTATTATTCGCCCTGCGGAGGGTGGGCCTGGTTAGGGGAGTGGGTAGGGGGCATCCAGTCAGGCTGTCTCCACCTTCTACCTGGGATCCCAGCCCAGGGGCGGAGCAAAAGGTGGGTACCAAGGACAGGGTGGCGTCTACTCCCCCATCCCACTCGCGAGCTCTACTCTTGCTTCCACCTGTGTTATGGAGAGAAAGCCGCCTTCCGGGGTCGCAGTGGGGTTTAAGTCGATCGCGGACTTCCATCGCAGACTGCCCTCGCATTTTCATTACTGTGTATCATCTCCAGCCCGGCCGCGCGCGCAAGGGATCGTGGTCCGCGGATTGACAGCTCAGGCCCCGCCTCCGCCCCGTCTCTAGGGCGACGCCAGAAGCATGCTGTGGCCGGGAGATTCCTCACCACCCCGCGGCCCCAGCCTCGGTGACAGTGGTTCCAACACTGGCGAAAGCCGGAAGTACAGCCCTGACGACGGCGGCTGCTGGTCTCCATAGAAACAGCGGAAACGTGCTCTCACCTAGCGCTTCCCAGTGCCGCAGCGGCTGCGGACTTCAGTTCCGCTATCATCGAGGCCCGGAAGTGCGGCCTTGGCGGTGGTAAGCTGGAGGCAGCCACGGCCCAGCCTGGTGCCTGAGGAGGAGCCGGAGGTGGGGTCGACCGGGAATCCCCCTGCCGCAAGGCCGGCGGGGAGGCTGGGGCGTGCCATGGGAGGGGTGCCGGCGCTAGGCTTGGAGCGCACGCTGCGGACGTGAGGGGGCGCTGCAGAATCGGGGCACGGCGCGGGCAAGGGCGCGGATGCTGGAAACCTAGGTTGGTCGGGGCTGCAGCGGGTGCAGCCAGCGCGGATCAGAGAGGGGCTCTGGGCTCAGGATAGGGCGCGCGCAGTGGCGCAGAGTGAGGGAGAGAGGTGCCACGAGCGAAGTGTATGGCTTGAGCAAAGGCGTGACGATGAGAATGCGTCGCGTACCCGGGACAGTGGGCCTGGAGCCGTGTCTCCAGGTGGACCTTTGTTCTGAGGCGCCATGAAGGCCCTGCTGCATCTGGACCGAGGAATCGGAAGCTGTCGGAGAGTAGGGCCGGAGTGAATTGGAAAAGGAAGAGCTCAGGCCCTGCGGGCTGATGCACAGGTTTCTGTCCCATCGCCCGGGCACGGATTTGAAGTCCTTTAGATAGATGCTTGGTGAATAAAGACTTTAAGGGTGCTGTGGCAGAGGCAACGGCACGTGCAAAGACTAGGCTCGTTTGAGGAATCGCCAAGAATTAATTCTTCCTACGGAGGGCTGTGAGAAGAGGAGGGTTCAGATGTGTTAGGTGTTAGTTAACAGGCTCCCTCTGGCTGTCGCATGGGTTAGAGACCCGGAGGTAGGGGGACGCGAGGCGGTTACTGCCATCAGTCTAGGCCCGCGGTACCCGGGCAGTGGAGGTGTGCGAAGTAGTCCGAGGGGTCAGATGTGGGGCATACAAGAAGCAGAGGGGTCTGGTCACAGCAAAGGCGGCTTGGGCATAAGGAGCCGGAGGAGGTGAGTCTGAGACCTCAGTAGATGCTGAGGGTTAAGAGAGGCCTCACCCTGGGACTGTGTGACTCTGCCTGAGTGAGGCTAGTGACGTGTGGGCGGGTCCCAGTGTGTCTTGTCTCCTGGCTCTCCTCCCCTACACTGGAGATGTGTGTGTCCCGAATGTGGGATAAGCCAGGTATCTCACCCCTGTTGTTAGAGGGTAAACAGACTGGTTGAGCCCGGTACCTGCTTGACGCGCGAAGTAGCATAGCGTCTCAGATTCAGAGTGTGGGGATGGTGGAAACCCCTCCTCTTTCTGGTCACAATTGGGCAAGTATCCGGTTTGCTCAGACATACATGCTGATCTGAGGCCGCTGCTGCTTCACCTGCACCCACTCAATCACACACCCCCTTCGCAGTCCACGGAAGCCCCTTCTCTGTGCCACACACACACACACACACACACACACACACACACACCCTGTGCCCCACAGGTCCATCCATATGCCAAGAAGCACCAGGCTGTGGCAGGCACCTCCCTCACTACTGTGATTTCCTCCCATGGAGCACCTGCCAGGCTAACCTCTCAGCCCATTGTGACTATGCAGACTTCTGATTGCTTAGTCCAAGAGGCAGGTCATGCCACCTCACCCCTGCGAAGATCTCCGTGTTCACTGGTTAACGTAACCGGTTTGAGGCAGCAGACTGGGTCTGCACAGGGCCTTGGATGTTCTAAGGTTGGAGGGTGTGACAAAGGCAGAACAAAAAGCGGCGAGTGGAAGGAATTGCAGCCATCGTGTTGGAGAGTCGGCCTGTTCTAGATGTGGGTGGGTCTCTGCGCTCTTCTCTACAGGGCTGCCCCCTGAGAGGGGCATGTGGGGAGGGTTTGTGGATTTTGGAGTTGGGAGAAGGGTGGGTGACAGGACCTAAATAGGGGAAGCAATCCCTGGATACTGTCCCGGAGTAGTAAGCAAGACTGGGAGTGAATAGACCTTTGATATTCCCAATCCTCCCTCGGTGGGGGCTGCGGAGGTGCAGGGAGCTGCCTAAGTCCTGGAGTGGGGGAAGTCCTGCTGTGATCTATGTGCTGGGCACAGGACTGCGAAAGTCCCTTGGGGAGGGCTGAGGTTTGTCCTTGGGCCCTGTCCTACAACAAAGGCTTAAGGGACGGGGAACGCTAGTGCAGACGGGGGTCCCTGGCTGACCTCCCCGCAACTCTCCCTCGTCTGGTGTAGATGGCGGCGGCGGCGGAGGCGGTGCACCACATCCATCTGCAGAACTTCTCGCGTTCGCTGCTCGAGACCCTCAACGGGCAGCGGCTGGGCGGGCACTTCTGCGACGTGACCGTGCGGATCCGCGAGGCTTCGCTGCGCGCACATCGCTGCGTGTTGGCCGCTGGCTCGCCCTTCTTCCAGGATAAATTGCTGCTCGGCCACTCCGAGATCCGTGTGCCGCCGGTGGTGCCCGCGCAGACGGTGCGCCAGCTCGTCGAGTTCCTCTACAGCGGCTCGCTCGTGGTGGCACAAGGCGAAGCGCTGCAGGTGCTCACGGCCGCATCGGTGCTGCGCATCCAGACTGTCATAGACGAGTGCACGCAGATCATTGCCCGCGCCCGTGCCCCCGCCCTGGGCACCCCCGCACCCCCGCCCCTGCCCACTCCGGTGCCCACATCACTCGCGCCGGCACAACTGCGCCACCGCTTGCGCCACTTGTTGGCTGCGCGTCCCCTGGGCCATCCCGGTGCTGCTCATAGCCGCAAGCAACGCCAGCCTGCACGCCTGCAGCTGCCTGCGCCCCCTGCGCCCGCCAAGGCGGAGGGGTCGGACCCCGACCTCGCCCTACCGGTAGCCCCAGAAGGTGGTGATGACGATGACGTCGACGATGACGACGAAGAGACTGATGATGAGACCGACGGTGAGGAAGGCGAAGGCGGCGTTCGGGTTGAGGGCCAGGCGCCCGCATCTTTCCCTGACTGCGCTGCCAGCTTCCTCACCACCGCGGCTGACAGTGCGCGCGAGGAGCCGCCTGCGCCCGCCGGCCTTCCTGACTATGGCGGCTCCGGGAGGGACTTCCTTCGGGGGCCTTCAGTGGCCGAGGACGTGTTCCCTGATAGCTACGTCTCCCCGTGGCAAGAAGAAGACGGCACAGCCGCTGAAGGCTGTCCCGCAGAGGTCCCAGTCCCGCCCGACTGCATCCTGTCCGGACCCCGCCCGCCTGGCTTGAAGACCCCGGGGCCGCCAGTCTCGCTTTTCCCCTTTCATCTGAGCGCTCCAGGGCCATCTGCTCAAACCCCTTCCGCGCCCTCCGAGCTGGCCCCTGCGCCCCCTCCTGCCTTCTACCCTGCGCTCGAGCCTGATGGGGCCCCCAGTGCGCCTCTGGGAGAGGCTCTGGCCCCACCCTCTGCTCCTGCCGCCACCCCAGCACGCGCCTCTGGTGCCGAGCCACCCGCCTATGAATGCAGTCACTGCCGCAAGACGTTCAGCTCGCGGAAAAACTACACAAAGCACATGTTCATCCACTCCGGTGAGCCGGGGTGGGGTCTTGGAACACCTGGGTCTTTGGTAATTCAAACCTGAGGCAGGATTGGGCACTGGGCGGGGGCAGTGACGCAGTTCTTTCGTGATCCCAGGGGAACCTGGAATTTGAGCCCCAAGTGCAATGCCTGTGGGCAGCAGGCACTCCTGCCGGCCGCCTACCTCAATTTATTGGGGCTAGCCCACGGGAGGGAATGGGGCAGAGATCCTAAGGCTGGGTTGTGGAGCAGCAGTTGTAGCCCAAGGCCTTTGGAAAGCTGGCAGTGGAGCCTCCTTTAGTCACCATGATAGAGCTTGAGATGGGCTGGAGGGAGGGAGCATGGTCAGTTTGGGGAGCAGTGATGAAAGGACCCTCCTGGATCTACTTGGATGTCAGCAGGTCCAGTGATTGAGACTGGATGCAAGGGAGGATGGGTTCGCTGGCCTTGGGAAAGAGTGGAAAGTGGGCAGACAGGTGTCCTGATCAGGGCTAGAGAAGAGAGATGGGACTCCCCAAGGCTGCAGTGAGGGCCTTTTGGACCTCTGCGTGTCCAGGAGGCAGCTCCATAGCCGCTGAGGAAGAAGTAGAGCACTGGGGATTGTGGAGTGAAGGGCCAAGGTGGTTGCTGGCAGGTCATGGATGTATCCAAGGGAGGGTGCCGGGTGCTCCCTGGGGACTGAGATGTGAAATGCCAAAGGCTAAGCTGGATGTTAAGAAAAGCAAAGATGTGGCTGGAAGTCCAGTGGGAATGGAGTGGGGAGTTCTGCTGGGCCAGGAAGTTGGGATTTCAGGTGCCAGGCCCAGGTGGTCTGGGAGAACTGTTCCCAGGCACTGCCCTGCAGCCACTTGCTGATGTGAAAGGCTTTTTGTTAATGCCTGCTGATGCTAGGGGCCAACACAGCCTGCCTCCCCTTCTCTGATGGGGGGGGGGGATTGCCTGCTCTGTCACCTGAGGAACATTATAGCCGCCAGCAGGCAGGGATTCTGGGCAACAGGGGCTCCCAGAAGAAAGGGGACAGGTATACCTGGCTCTCTCCCAGTGTAAGGATGCTTGGCCTTGCCAGACTGTCCCTAGAATGGCCAGAGATCAGAGTTTAGAATGCTCTATGGGCATGGCAGGAATGGGTGAGGGGAGGTCCCTTGGCTTGGGGGACCTGAGTGGTCAGTTGCAGTGGGCAACCATGTCACACAGCGGTTGGGTTCCCTATTGGGAGGTTACCTGTTGGAGGTGGGGGACACTGACAATGGTATACTAGTATAATGGTAAGGGTTTGGGAGGGGGATGTCCAGCAGGGCAGAGGTGAGGGGACCTCACCAGGCCATACCAGGCCATGTGTGAGGGCCCTTCTTGGGCAGTCAAGTCCAGGAGTGATGGGGTGGTCCCAGAGTGGAGGAGGTGCAGGGGGATTCCGGGTTGATGGTTGGTCCTGGAGGCCAAGGGAGGGGAGTCCCTGCCCAGCAAAGGCATCCGGGGTCTCTTCCCAGCTGACTCTGCATGCGCGGCCCCCCATGTCGCCCGCAGGGGAGAAGCCCCACCAGTGCGCTGTGTGCTGGCGATCTTTCTCGCTGCGCGACTACCTGCTCAAGCATATGGTCACACACACGGGAGTGCGCGCCTTCCAGTGCGCTGTCTGTGCCAAGCGTTTCACGCAGAAGAGCTCGCTCAACGTGCACATGCGCACGCACCGGCCAGAGCGCGTGCCCTGCCCTGCCTGCGGCAAGGTCTTCTCGCACCACGCCCTGCTGGAGCGCCATCTGGCCTCCCACCCTGCACCCTGATCTGGCCCGGGGCCTAGCCACGCCCATCGTGAGTTTGATCACACCCCACAGTTGGCCATACCCACTGCAGGGTCTCTATAGCTTGCGGAGCTAAGTCAGGCTCACTGCAGAACTAGTATAACATCCTCGCTGGGCCGGGTCACACCCCACGAGCACCTTGACCACATTCCCACCACCAGACTAGGCTTTTCTCTGAGTGCAGGCCCTTCCCCTGCTTTCACCCTCTTCACCACCAACCAGGGGCCCAACCTGCCTAACTCCTACATTCAGACCCTCCAGGTAGTGGCGGGCTGGGGCTGGTCAGAGAGACCCAAGCACTCCTGAGAACTGGATCATCTCCAGTCTGAACTGGATGCTCAGAATTGGGACAGGGCCCAGGATTCGTGGCTCCATCTATATCTCGCACCCTGCCTCCTTCCGTGAGTGGGGTGGGGTCTAGGCCTGTTTTCCTACGCCCATGTCAGGCTGGGCAAGATCCCTGGTGCCCCACCCCGAACTACCCTCCTTCATCTGGCACCATCATGGACTAGGGCCAGACCTTTGGATACCTGCTTTGTAATAAAGGACTGTGGCCCATGGGGCCAAACCTGTGTATTTCTCACTCTCACAGACTTGCTGTGGGCATCAGGCCATCAGCGCCCCCCCCCTCTTGGTCATCTCATGCCTCAGTGGGGTGCGCATATGATCAGTGCTTGACTCCTAGATCCCTTGGTCCTGTGGGGAGGGATACAGGCCAACTCCATATGAAGTGGGCCACGTGTGGGACCACACCCCAGTCACAGTTGCTGCAGTCCAAGGTGAAAATTTCGAGGCCCCTTCCTCCAGATGCTCTAAGCCCTTTGGACTTCCTTTTGGAGGACCCAAGGGGTCTTTGGGGCCAGGCTGCCATGAGAAGACCTTAGCCTCTGGTTACCTTCCCTGGGGGACAAGCTCAAGTGCTGGGTAGGGTGGTGGGGAGCCGCAGCTATGACCCTTGGGCTGCTGCTGAAGAGGGCAATCCGTGGTGGTGAGCTGGTGTCATGCAACCCCATGTCAGTTAAACTGCCAGTCCAGAGCAAGGTTGCACTTCCTGCCTCCAGTGCAGTGGTGTTGGCTGACTTGGGTGCCCTGCCCTTAGGATTTGGGGCAGCTCGAGGTGGGTGCAGCCTGGAGGAAGGTGCCCCAGCACAACCTGTTGGTTCCTGGGCCAATGGCAGCCCATCTCTGAATTCCACCCTGTGACTGCCTCGCAAAGGTGATGGGGTCCGACCATGTGTAGACTGTCCCTCCCGCATTCCAGGCAGAGTTCAACCTCCTGAACCCCAAGCACGGTCCCCTCCGATGCCAGAGGTGTGGCTGTCAGTGCAGCACATGGGTAGGAGAGCTGGGTTTGAATTCAGCACTGCATTTATCCCTTTCAGTATTTACTGAACACCTGCTGTATATCTGGCTAGAGGCTCAGACTGGTCAAGCCCATCTGCCTGCAACTTAAGTGGGTGTCACACAAGAACCTCCAGGTGAGCTGTGAAGAGCAGGAGGCAGTGCCTGAAGCCCGCTCGCTTTGCTCTCCTGCTGATTCTGTGGGCCTGTTTCCCAAGTACCTGGTCCACAATAGGTGACCACACGGGCAGAGCAGAACAAACAGGTGTGGTTCAGAAGGGCTGGGGGCAGAGTTGGGGGGCTGGGTGAAAAAGGGGAAGGGATTAAGAAGTACAGATTGGGGCCGGCCGATTGGCGCTTTGGTTAAGAGCTGGCTTGGGGCCTGCTGAGTGGCACATTGGTTAAGAGCTGACCTGGGATGCCAGAGGGCCCCGGTTTGGATCCCAGATATGAGGGCCAGTGACACTGCCCTCTACAGCTAAGATGCTGAACAACAGCTCAACCTGGAGCTGGGCTGCCATGAGTCCACGGCGACAGCATAGGCTGCAGCCCCTGCTGCAGTGGGCTGCCATAAGCTACCATGTATGGCCAGCAGCCAGCGTGAGCAGCTGACAGCTGGTGTGAGCTGCCAAGAGCTGCTGTGAGGGGCTGTCCAGAGGCCGGCGACTGATCTGCCTTACCCGGGAAGAGCGCAATGATGGTATCAACATGGGCCAGTGAAGTGATGTCCTCCACAACTAGACTGAAGAACAAAAGGACAGCAACTTGTCTGTTCCTCTTCCCCCGATTCCCCAGCACTGTTCCCCTCCCCCAACTCCCCAATAAAATATATATTTTTAAAAAGTACAGATTGGTGGGACGGCAGTTTAGCTCAGGTGGTTAGAGCGTAAAGTGCAGTGCTCATATCTCCAAGGTTGTCGGTTTGATTCCCACATGGGCCACTGAGGTGTGCCCTCCACAACTATTGGGTTGTGGGAAAAGTCATGACGCATTTCTGCATAGAAAACAGAAAAAATACATCATGACTTTTCCGACGACCCAATAGATTGAAACTACATACTTGGCGCTGATGGGTCCTGGAGAAACACACAGTTTCCCAATAAAAATAAATTTTTAAAAAAATGTACAGGGCCGGCCGAGTGGCGCGATGGTTAAGAACTCGCTTGGGATGCCAGAGGGCCCCGGTTCGGATCCCACATGTGAGGGCCAGTGACACTGCCCTCCACAGCTAAGATGCTGAACAACAGCTCAACCTGGAGCTGGGCTGCCATGAGTCGCCGGCGACGGCGTGGGCTGCAGTCCCTGTGGCAGTGGATTGCAATGGGCTACCGTGTGTGGCCAGCAGCCAGCGTGAGCGGCCAGCAGCCGCAGTGAGCGGCCGTCCAGATGCCGGCGACTGATCTGCCTTGCCAGAGAAGAGCGCAATGATGGTGCCAACTTGGGCCAGTGAAGCAACGTCCTCCACAACTAGATTGAAGAACAAAAAACGACAGCAACTTGCCTGTTCCCCTTTCCCCAATTCCCCAGCACTGTTCCCATCCCCCCAATTCCCCAATAAAAATCTTTAAAAAAAAAAATGTACAGACACTTACAAAATAGTCATGGGATGTAAAGTACAGCATAGGGAATATAAATATTGTAATAAATGTGGTGCCAGGTGGGCGCTAGACTTATGGGGATGATGACATAGTTATATAAATGTCTAACCAATATGTTATACACCTGAAACTAATATAATATTGAATGTGAACTGTATTTGAACAAATAAGAGTAAAGGGCTGGGGGCAGAGTCCTGGGGCAAGGAGCACGCTGTCAACAGCGCCTGGGCCACTGCCAGGGGCAGAGCTGACCAGGCTGACCGCCAGAGGTTGAGGAGGTGAGTATTCCGTGGAACTCCTCTGAGGACCGAGCATGGGAGTCCGATCGCGACTGGCCTTTTTGCTGCTGCTGCTGTTGCTGCTGCGCGGCTTGGGGCAGCCTACGTGGCCGGTGGCTTTGGCCCCGGCACTGCGCTGGCTTCTGGGGGACCCTGCCTGCTGTGCGCTGCTCGGCCTAGCTTGGCTGGCGCGGCCCTGGCTCAGCCCCTGGATGCCCCACTGGCTGAGTCTGACGGCCGCGGCCCTCACGCTGGCCCTGCTGCCCGCGCGGCCACCCCCGGGGCTGCGCTGGCTGCCGGCAGACGTGGCTTTCATCGTTGGGATCCTCCGCGCGGGCCTGGATGTCAGGGCGCGCTTGAGCCGAACGCCGCGCGACACCTTCGTGGATGCCTTTGAGCGGCGCGCGCGGGCGCAGCCGGGCCGCACACCCTTGGTGTGGACAGGACCGGGGAGCCGCTCGGTCACCTACGGGGAGCTGGACGCCAGGGCCTGCCAGGCGGCGTGGGCCCTGAAGGCGGAGCTGGGCAGCTCAGGGGACCAGGGGACCAGGGAGCCCGCTGCCCTCCTGGTGCTGGCCTCCCAGGTCGTTCCCGCCCTGGGCCTGTGGCTGGGGCTGGCCAAGCTGGGGTGCCCGGTGGCGTGGATCAATCCACACATCCGCGGGGCGCCCCTGGTGCACTCGGTGCTGAGCTCTGGGGCTCGGGTGCTGGTGGTGGACCCAGGTGAGGACTCCAGAGGCCAGGGGAGGACGAAAGGGGTGGGGACGGACGTAGAGGGTTGTTGCTCAGAGGGTCCTGGGCAAGAAGCGCTTTCTTCCTCACCCACCCACAGGCAGTAGTACTTAGCCTCTGCAAAGTAATTATGAGGGCATCACAGTTTTTTTTTTTTTTCTTCACCGTGGCTATTTCAATCCTTTCTGCCAAAAAATGCTAACTATGGGGTTCTTTACAGAAGAATGCAGAAGCTTTGCTCTGCTGGCTGCGTCCTTTGTGGCTGGCTGTGGGCTCCTCTCCTCCATCTATGGGTCTTGGGTGGGCCTTGCCTCAGCTTCTCCTCTGATCCATTCCTACAGACCTCCGGGAAAACTTGGAGGAGGTCCTTCCCAGGCTGCAGGCAGAGAACATTCGCTGCTTCTACCTCGGCCTCTCCTCCCCCACAGCAGGGGTGGGGGCTCTGGGGGCCGCCCTGCAGGTTGCACCCCCAGACCCTGTGCCTGCCGACCTGCGTGCTGGGATCACACCGCGGAGCCCTGCCCTGTTCATCTACACCTCAGGGACCACCGGTGAGGGCACCCAGCAGCCCTAGCCCCGACCTCTGAGCTATCATGCTGACCTGACCCCAAGCCTGACTGCCTTGTGCCTCAAACTTGACCTCTGAAACCTACCATGTGCTTTGATTGAGACATCTGGCCTGAACTCTGACTCCCAGTGTGTTCTAAGTGGTCAATGCCAGAATCCTGCCTCTTCCCAGCAAACACCTTTGGAATTCAGCCTCTGAACCCCAAATCCAATTTGACCTCCTTGAACCCACCCACAAATCCCCATACCTGACCACCTTCTGAGGGCCCTGCAGACCTGACCATGGAGACCCACCCCTGCGTGCTGATCCCTCTTGTGCTGTCCTACCACCCCACCCTTCCCACTCCTTCATCCCCTAGGGCTCCCGAAGCCAGCCATTCTCACGCATGAGCGGGTGCTACAGATGTGCAGGATGCTGTCCCTGAGTGGGGTCACAGCTGATGATGTGGTCTACACAGTCTTGCCTCTGTACCATGTGATGGGACTTGTCCTTGGAGTCCTCGGTTGCCTGGAGCTCGGTAAGCCCTTCCCTGAGGACCCCTCCAATCCACGGGACTGCCAGACTGGAAGTCAGGGTGGGGTTGTCAGTGTGACAAGAACCCACACCTTACCCAGCACCCTGGGTTCTTACCTCTGAAAAGGGACATACAGCAGAAAGCCCCAGGAGACCCTGGACAAAGGCTGGGACACCCAGCCTTTGTCTCTAGTGGCTGTGTTGTGGTCAGGAGGTGACAAGAGCTGGTGAGTGGTCATATGAGCTCTTGTCCCAGGAGGAGCCAGTGAGGAAATGAATGCTCACCAGGCATGCCATCAGGCTGTCTCCCTGGACCCCGGACTAGGAAACCACATGGGAATCTCTCTATAACCTGTTTTTTCCCCTTCAAATTTTTATCATGAAAATTTTGAAACATATAAAAATTCTAAATGTACCCACCACCCAGCTTCAGCCGCCATCAGCATTTTGCTGTACTTATTTCTTTTATTACCTCCTCACTCCCTCTTGTCTTTTTTACTCTCATATTTTATTAAAAGATTTTTTTTTATCATGGACAATTTCAAATACACACAAAAGTAGAGCAAATAATTTGATGAAGTCTCACATGTCTTCACTCAGCCTTAACAATTGTTAACATGTTGCCAGTTTTATTTGATATGTACTCCTCTCTTTCTGGATTATTTTAGAGTAAATCCTAGACACTATCTTTTCCCTTGTAACAATTGCAGTATGTATCTCTAATATAAGGACTTAAATTAACAATTACTCTTTAGTATCATCTGATGCCCACTTCATGTTCAAATGTCCCCAGTTATCTAGTTGTTTTTACACTTAGTCTCCTCATGGTTTGGTCTTTGCTCTTTCCTGTGTTTCCTGTTAGACTGGAAATTCCCTCTAGAGATGTTGTTAGAGTCATTCAGTCATACTGAGCAAGAACCTTGCTGGGGTGCATTGTGCTTCCTACTGGAGGCACAGTGGAGGCAGCTCATAACTGTTCTCCTATCTTAGAGAGACTAAGATGAATTGGGGAGCTTTAATCGGAAAACTCCCTGTCAATCTTCCCCCTGGTTTTACTAGCTCTTGAAGACCTTTCCTGAACTAGGTGTTTCATTAGGGATTGCAAACCAAGCTTTCCAAGGACCCGGCACCCATTTTCACAGAGAGGGTACTGTAGTTACCTCCCTGTAAAAAATTCAGCCTCAAAGAAGACACACACTTGCTACTCATCAAGCATATGAGCAACTGTCCCTTTGGGTGCAGGGATGATGATATTTTGCTTGCAGGGTTTTGTTGAAGATTAGGGTTGAGTTAGGGAGAGTGCCTTCCACAGAGCCAGCTGTAGAGAAGCGGATCAGAAAAGGAAAGGTCGCTTTCCTGGAGTGAATGTTGTGGCCCCTAAAATTAATTAATCCATGTATCCATCCTTCAAAACATCCATCCATCCACCAGCACACCCATCCAGCTACATCCACTCACCTTTCCATCCATCCACCCACCCACCTACCCACCCATCTGCTCAGCTAAACATTCATAAAACATTTATAATCAAGAATGATTACTATTCACAGCCCCTATTTAACAGTGCTCACTTTGTACCAGGCACTGATCTTTCCAAACATTCTGGAGACAGGATTCGAACCCAGGCCAGCCTATACTTTTCTTTTCTTTTCTTTTTTTTAGATTTTTATCGGGAAATTAGGGGAGGGGAACAGTGTTGGGGAATTGGGGAAGAGCAGCCAAGTTGTTGTCCTTCAATCTAGTTGTGGAGGGCGCAGCTAGCTCAGCTCCAAGTCCAGTCGCCATCTGGCTGGCCGTCGGCAGCTCACGGCTGCTCAGCTCAAGGTGACATGTTCAATCTTAGTTGTGAGTGGGCATAGCCCACTATCCCATACAGGAGTCTAACCAGCAACGTTGTTGTTAGGAGCATGTGCTCTCACCAGCTGAGCCATCTTGTCACCTGTTGGCAGCTCAACTTGGGTGCAGCTCACTGGCCCATGTGGAATCGAACCAGCGACCCTGTTGCTCAAAGCTCACGCTCTTAACCAACTGAGCCACTCGGCTGGCACCCGCCTATGCTTTTTCTCATGGAGGTAGTCCTGGCTGGGCCAGGGACACAGAGATGAGTCCGATACCATCCTGTGCTTCAGGGGGCCACAGTCAGGGGATCAAAGCAGCTTCTCAGTGGCTTGGAAGCATGACCTGAAACCTCTTCCTCTCCTACCTCCCAGGAGCAACCTGTGTCCTGGCCCCTAAGTTCTCCGTCTCCTGCTTCTGGGATGACTGTCGGCAGCATAGTGTGACTGTGATCCAGTATGTGGGCGAGGTCCTGCGGTACCTGTGTAACGCTCCCCAGGTGAGGGGCTAAGATTAGGGCTCCATACTTTAGGTATGAAACCCCAGCTGTCATCCAAGGTAAAGGTCTCAAGTAGATTTAGGTATAGGACTCAAGCAAGGTCGCTCAGGTAAAACACCTCAGGTAAGAGCCACTATAATGAGTCCCACACAAGGTTTCTAATCATGGATCCTTTGATAGTCAGCTGTGCTTCCTTGGGCAGGTGTCATCACCTTTCTCAGCCTCAGTGTCCTCATTTGGAAAAGAGGATAATACCTCAAGGGGTACTGTGAGAATTAAACATATGTAAATTGCTTAGAACAGGGTGTGGCTCAGGGCAAACTCATTAGATGTGAACCAGCCTTACCCTTATAGCAATGAGGTATGGACCTCAGGTAACTTGTTTCCAAGAAGTGTCCCCAGGTATCCCTCCAGATAAAGCCTCAAAGTAAGCCCTCAGGGAGTCTCCAAGGCCCCTAGGTAACTCCCCAAGATGAAGCTTCAAGTTACTCCCCAGGTTACCGCTAGGTAAAGCCCCCAGGTAACTCCTCCACCCCCATGCAACCTCTGCAGATAACCTCCAGGTACAGATTCCAGGTAACTACTCTCAAGTAAGAACCCCAGGTAGATCCCCTAGGTTTACACCACCCCATCACCTCCCAGGTGAGGACCTGAGATAGCCCTCCCAGGAAATGGTACCTGGGCATACCCAAGGTCACCTCCTTGTCGATCTCATTACATGGCGTGTCCCTGCAGCAACAAGAGGACCAGACACATACAGTCCGCTTGGCAATAGGCAATGGACTCCGGGCAGACGTGTGGCAGACCTTCCAGCAGCGCTTTGGCCCCATTCGGATCTTGGAAGTCTACGGCTCCACGGAAGGCAACATTGGCTTTGTCAACTATCCAGGGCGCTGTGGGGCCGTGGGCAAGACAAACTGCTTTCTTCGAGTGAGTGGGTTCGGTGTGACAGTGGCCCTGATTAAGGCTGAGCCCACAGGACCTCTGCTGACACCTCCCTACCCTCCACTCAGATGCTGTCCCCCTTCGAGCTTGTACAGTTTGACACAGAGGCTGCGGAGCCTGTAAGGGACAGACGAGGCTTTTGTGTGCCTGTGGGGCCAGGTATGGGGGTTGGGGAACCTTCCCTGGTTGTGGAAAAGGTGGGGATCTGTCTCCTCCTTGGCTGGAACAAGCTGCCCAAAGCCTTGAGGTCAGTGCCCAGTGGTGGTGTCGGCAGCTCTCACTCGGCCCCTGAGTCCTCAGCCTGTATGACCACTGTCTGGGACCCTCTGCCTCTCAGCTTCTCAGCTCTGCCCAGCTCCCCCACCTCAATCTCTTGCTCTGCTGGGTTTTGGGAGTCCATTTGAGTTGTTCTCTCGAACTTTCTGTGGAAGCCACGTCCTCCCAGGCATCAATTTCTTGCCTTCTACCTAGGGTCTTCTCTCCTGGGGCCTCGCAAGGTCCTGGACACAATCTTTTTCTTCCCACCATTTGTCTCTGTCCCTGTCCATCCCTTGTTATCCGTTTCCTATTTTTTAAGTGGGCTCCCAATGCCACCTTCTCTTTCCTGTCTGTCATTTTCTGTCTCCCTGTGTCTCTGTCTCTCCCATTTCCGGAACTCGCCGTTTCTATCTCTGAGTCGCTGTCTCTTCTCTGGCAGGGTCCTAGGTGATGGAATCCTCCGCTATCAGAAACCTCTGGCCGGGGGCAGGTGGGTTCTGAGGTTCTTGTCCATAGTTAATGCCCCAACTCCTACTCTGGTCCACAGGGGAGCCCGGGCTCCTGTTGGCTCAGGTACTAGGCCGCCACCCTTTCGTGGGCTACCGCGGTCCCCGAGAACTGTCGGAACGGAAATTGGTGCGGGACGTGCGGCGCCACGGCGACGTTTACTACAACTCCGGGGACGTACTTTCCATGGACCGTGAAGGCTTCCTCTACTTCCGCGACCGCCTCGGGGACACCTTCCGGTCCGGGGCGGGATTTCTCGGGGCGGGACTGGTAGGCGGGGCCACTGGGACCTCCTGACCCTGGAGAGAGGCTGGCTGAAGAGGCGGGACTTCGGGATCCCAGAGGGGGCGGGGCTTATCGATCCCGAAGGAGGTGGAGTTGGGCAGAGAGGGCTATCAGACTCCCTAGGAGGCGGGGCTTGGTGGGCAAGAGGCGGGGCCTCCACTTTACTAAGGGCGTGGTCACAAGCACGGGCTCCACCCCTCAGATGGAAGGGTGAGAACGTGTCGACGCGGGAGGTGGAGGGCGTGTTGTCGCTGGTGGACTTCCTGCAGGAGGTGAACGTGTATGGTGTATCTGTGCCAGGTGCGAAGGGGTCATCTCATTTTAAACCTCCAACAGCTTTGTGGGTGGAGGTTTGTTATCCCAATTTTACAGGTTGGGGAGCTGATGGGGCACAATGAGCAGAACTGGGCAGGGGAGAGGTGGGTCAGCTGAGAATGACTGGCGTACTTCGCAGGGTGTGAGGGCAAGGTGGGAATGGCTGCTGTGCAACTGTCACCCGGCCAGACCTTCGATGGGCAGAGGCTGTACCAGCACGTCCGCACTTGGCTTCCTGCCTATGCTGTCCCCCATTTCATACGTATCCAGGTGAGCTCAGGGGACAGTAGTTGGTAGGTGGGAAGTCTTGGTAGTGGGAGTCACAGTCGGAGTTACAGTAACTGCTCCTGCAGGACACCCTGGAGATCACAAGCACGTTCAAACTGGTGAAGTCCCAGTTGGTGCGTGAGGGCTTCAACATGGGCGTCATTGCTGACGCCCTGTTCGTGCTGGACAACCAAGCCCAGGCCTTCCGGCCCCTGACGCCTGACACATACCAGGCTGTGTGTGACGGTACCTGGAAATTCTGACCATCTGGCCAGTCAACAGGACATCTGAAGGGGCAGGATCCAATGCTGGCCACTGTAAAAAAATAAGTAATAAATTGAGCCACTTTAAAATGCACCAGGAGCTGCCATCCCAGAGGAACTGCCTTGTACGTCTTATGCCTCATACCTTTGGATGTTAAAACACAGGCAAAAGAACCTTTCGATTGGGAGTAAAGCAAGCCTGTGTCCCAAAAAACTGTTTGCAAAGATAAGAAGATATGATTACTGGACTGATGACTATCAGACTGAATATTAAAAACATTTTTTAGAATTAACATCATTGTTATCTGTACCAATAGCAATGCCTTCCTTTATTAATCTAATTGTTCTCCGTCCCTTCCCATAAATACCTCGGCTCTGTCTCCTACTTGGAACTCTATTTAAGCTTCTTCCTGAATGGCTATTTTCTTTTAAATGTCAAATAAATGTTTATTTCCTCTCTTTGTAAGGCCTTTTTATTTTTAACACCACCACCCCTGCTTGCAGTGTCACCTCCACCATGGACCTGCACAGAGGGTTGGCACTGGGCCCAGCAACAGAGTGAGAATAAACTCATGTGTACACTGTTGTCTGTATGGATAAAGTGAGGCGTGCAGGGCCCAGTGCTCTCCAGAAACCATACTTTAGAGCCCGTTAGTCCCCCAACCAAGGGTCTCAATTAGCCTTGAGTGGTCCTGTGGGCAAAGCAAGGGGTGAGAGAGGAGCCAGCAGCTTTACAGCCACTCCAGGGTGGAGAGAGGAGGGCACTGACTCCATCTGTTTGTCTTTTGTGGCCTCTGATGGGCCTGTGCTCTGGAGGATGTGGGAAGAAGTGCTATGATGGGTGATGTGACAGGGTCCTATGGGCATTGGACTGAGGCATTAAGGGTGAGCAGGAAGTAACTGGGAGAAGAGCAGTCCTAGTAGAGTGCAAGTGCAAAAGCCCTGAGGCAAGTCCTGGGGAGCAGGTGCAGAGGCCCCTGAAAAATAGATCCAGTGTCTTTGGGACCAGAAGTACTCCCCAGGGCATGTGAGAACTATAGACGGGTAAAAGAAAGGAGGAGGGGCAGCCCCAAGAGTCCAACCGTCCATGGAGTATCTCAAGGGCTGGAAGTGCTGCCTGGGGGTATTGTGGGAGCTGTAGGCAGATGCCAATAGATGTTGTGGCTTTTTTTATATATATATATAAGCTGAGCCATCCTGCCACCTGTTGGCAGCTCAGCTCGGGCCGGGCATTGAACCGCTGTTGCTCAGAGCTCAAACTCTTGTGCGAGCTCTTAACCAACTGAGCCACCCGGCTGGCCCCTGTTGTGGCCTTTACAACGTCGACCATGCAACCAGTTTCTGATCCCCCATCATGGGCCAGAAGTACCATCTGCAACATTGTGGGAGCTGAAGGCAGAGGACACTGAATGGTAAGGCTGCTGTGACTTAGACTGGGCCACCTCAGGGTCTGGAGATGCTGCCCAGAGCATTGTGGGAGATGGGAGCAGAGGCTAGTGGATGTGTAGTGAGCAGCCTCATGTTCCAGAAGTGCTGCCACAAATCTACCAGAGATAAGGGGACCCTCCAGGGACTAGTGGTCATCCAGGGCCACCAGATTCAAGGGACACCAGGATATTCTAAAGTCCACTAGGGACGATTTGATCCACCAGAGACACTGGGGTTCTCCAGGGACAACTGGGTCCACCAGGGACTCAGGAATCCACCATCCTCTTCCTCCATGTCTCCAAAGTGATCTCCTCCTGCTTGCCCATCAGATCACGCCCCTAGCTCCATCTCCAGCCTGTCAGTGCTTCCCCAGGTCCCAGTGTGAGAGCAACAGGTCAACAGGTCTTCAGAAGACTGTGGATGGAAGAGGTAACCCCCTGCCCCAAACGGAGACTTCCCCCTCCTAGCTTCAGGCTGCAGCCCACCCCCAGCCCAAGTGATCCTCCAGGAAGCCCCTCCTTTGCCTGGGTAGCCATGGTAGCAGCCACCCTCACCACCCACCTGCCACTCCTGCCTGTGTCCCAGGATGCAGAGGATTTATTTCTTGAGTGCACCTGTTTCCTAAAACCATCCCACACAAAAATGCTCCTTGTTTTCAGAGTAGGAAAGAGACAGGAGGATGCTGAATAACGGCCCCCAAAACAACCAGGTCCTGATCCCTGGAACCTGTGAATGTTATTTCACTTGGAAAAGCAATTTTGCAGATTTATCAAGTGTGCAGGTCAGGAGTGGACAATATGTGATTCAGGATCCTGAGATAGGGAGACTATCACAAATTGCTAGGTGAGCCCTAAATGCGAAGGAGTATGACAGCCATAGAGATGGCAACAGAACAAAGACTTCACCACCACTGCTGGCTTGTAGATGGTGGGAGGAGCAGGAAGCCAAAGAATGCAGCAGTCTCTAGAAGCTGGGAAAGGCAATAGAATGGATCCTCCCCTAGAACCTCCAGGACCCAATCCGTAACACCTTGATTTTAGCCCAGTGAGACTCATTTCAGAGCCATAAGAGAATACACTTGTGCTGTCTCAAGCCACCAAACTTGTTAGAACAACAGGAAACTAGTATAGTGCACTGACTAAAGTCCTGAATGACTGCACAGGAATCCAGACAGACCTCTGTGGGCAGCAGGCAGCCGAGCCTTTTTCTTCTTTGTGACCAACTGACCAACAGTGTGGGCTGTGGGGATGCAGCCCTGACCTGCAGGTGTACATGGACTAAGTGACATCTGTTTGTGGCCTTTTTTCTCAGAGAACACCCTTGTCCACCCATACTTGAAAAAGAACTTCCCTTAGTGTCCATTCAAGTTGAGATGCGAGAACTCAAAGGATAACGAGGCTGGGGGAGTGATGTGGGCAGCTCAGAAACAAGGTAGGCTGGGGCCAGGGCCAATGGGCCTTCTCATGGGTAGATGCTCTGTGGTTCCAGCTGCCAGGCAGGAGAAGCGGTATTGCTGACCTTCTGACCAGCAGAAGCCAGGAATCAGGATTCTTATGCAGAAACTTTCCTATTACAAAACTAGAATTTGTTAAAAATCTACAACACACATGGAAGGCCATTAGTTTTCCATCTGCCTGCAAACAGAAGCAGGCCATGCTCTTGTGGACCTTCCAAATAGAGACTGAGGACACCATTGCTTCAAGAGGGGTGAGAAGGGGCAGTTTTTGAGCATCCACCTGAAGCCAGCGACATCCCAGGGGTAGCGGGAGTCGTCAGCTTACATCATGTCACAGGTGGGGAGATCCGAGCTTGGTCAGTGGTGAATTCGAACCCATGCCTCACTCCAGAAGGCAGGCAAGAGGGGAGGGAGCAGCTTCTTCTCCTGCACCCAGGTGGCTCTTGGGGGTAGACAGCCAGGGGCAAGGGACCCTCCTGATTCACTCCAGTGACCTTTGCTGCCTCTAAGTCTCCCAGACCCAGGCCCAGCAGCAGGGGCTGCATTCAAGGACTCTGAGGCCCCCAAGGCGAGGCTACCTTCTCCAGTCACTCATGGCGCCTCCGACCTGTGGCTCTTCCTGTGAATGACCAGCTGGGATTTCCAATCGAAGCCGCAGCCACAGTCACCACAGAAGTGGCGCCGCTGTCCAGTGTGGCTCTTGCGGTGGATGACCAGCTGCGACTTCCAGCTGAAGCTGGACCCGCACTCCTCACACACGTAGCTGTGGGGGCTCGAGGGCGTGCGACGGTGGTGGCGGGGCAAACCTGGCTCCCGGGGACCCTGTGGCAGTTTCTCAGTGTCCCCAATGGCCAGCGCCGAGGCCCCTGCACCCTGCCCACCCGCATGTGTCCGGTGGTGCATGACGAACACTGACTTCCAGTTGAAGCCGCGGCCACACTGCTCACACATGTAGGGCTTGCTCAGTGCAGGGCTCAGCACCAGTGGTGGTGGGGCTGACGCAGCGGTCCCAGACGGGCCCTCACAGGGCAGCAGTGCCTTGGGGCAGCCGGGCGGACCCTCATGGTGGCTCTCGCTATCGCTTCCTAGGGGAAAGAGAAGGGGCCGACCTAGTGGCTCTGGCACCAGAATGTCGGCTGGCCTCTCCCCGGTGTGTGCGTGGCACAAGTTCCCACCCGCCCGAGAACGGGTGACCCGCGTGTGTCACACGGAGCAGCACTCACCCGGGCGGAGGGTTCCTCTGCTGTCCATCCCTGTGCTTGGCGCCCGGGTCTCCGACTCCGCCCGCGCGTCTGACCTGGGGGGCGGTAAACCTGTTGAGATGGGGGGAGGTCAGGCACCTGTCCTGGCACAGGGGCAGGTGAGGGGCTGGCGCAAAAGAGGAACAGAGTGGGGACCCTGGCGGGTGACACGGCCGCCCCTTGGGAAGGAGGGAGAAGGCAGGCATGCACAAGGGAAAGCAGGCAGCAAGGGGTGGGGAGAGGGGTGGGGGGCGTGGCTGGTCCTCACCCAAGGACACCACCGTGCCGTACTTCTCCAGCATCACGTCCCAATACAGCTCCCTCTGCGACGGATCCAGTAGCCCCCACTCCTCCTGTGGGGACGCAACCCATCACTGCCGGCCTCCACTCCCTCCACTCGAAGTGCAGTGTTGGGGAAGCAGGGCGAGGAGATAGCGGTCTGAAGCTAACCTGGCAGCGGCTGCCAGTACCCATCCTCCTGAGCTGCCCCACCCCACGCTGTGGGTGGACAGGCTGAGCTGAGGCCTCCTGGGTTTTGGAGAGGCAGGGGCAAATGTGGCTGTTCCCACCACCATGCCTTGAGCCGTGTGCTGCACCGAGAGCAAAGGGCCAGGCCTGGGGACCCCTCTCGTAACAGAGACCCTTCTTGGAGAGCTGTGGAGGGCCGCCAGCATTCCCAGATGTGGGCACCTGGCTGCGGGAGGGCTGGCGTTACGAGGTGCAGCCCCTGCCCCCCCCCGCCCACCTGTCACAGATGATGCTCGTGGGCAGAGGGTGAGGGTGGGGTGGGGGTGGTGGGCTGGGTCCTGCAGGTTGCTATAGGGTGAGCTCTGCAGGCTTTGGGGGGAGGGATCTTCCTTCCTCTCCTCCCAGAATTCCCATCATCTAGGTGGGGCTTTGCTGGGCTGGGAAAAATAAGTCCTGACAGACAAGTCAGGCACAGGGAGGCAGCAATCACACTGACCCACATCCAGGATGGTGCTGGCTGGAGGTGAAGAGGCTGTGGAGGGTGTCTCTGCCACCTGCCTGTTTCCTGCTGTGCCACTTCTTAGGCACCAAGCACATCCCAACCAGCTCTTCGGCTGGGATGAGCAGAGGGGAGTGGCTTAGAAGCAAGGCTGCTGGGAGAGGACAGGATCCTGCTACCCCACACTCAGGTAGCAGGGCCCTCAGATGAGCTTCCACCCAGCTGCAGTGGTGGCTGTGGGCATTTCCAAAGAAGAGCCTCTCCATTCCAATGTCAGGTGTGTTGGGGGGCAGGACAGCTGCGTGGTGCTCAGGCTTTCCTGCCAAGGTTGGGAATCTTGTCCCCTCCCCACCTGCACATGAAGGTGCCAGCTCAAGACTGCTGAGAGCTGCAACCCACTGACTCACTTCTCTCTAAGTGAGGAAACCATCCCTCACTTTAGTTCCAGTCACTCTAAACCAGATTTCTAAAAACCTTCCCAACTGTACAGACCACCGGACTGTCCCTCTGTCCCCTAAGACTTGCAGGGAACCCTGATACCAACACCACTCTGGGCAGCAAACAGCACAAGAGTCGCTGGCCAAGAAGCCTAGAAAACTGGCAAAGTAGAGTGGCCACCAAGGACACTGTCCTCCCACTGTTCCCTGCACCCTCACCTGGGGCTGCTCACCTGAATCCTGGGTGGATGGAAGAACTCAGAATCTGGTGCCCGCTGTCCAAGGGGCCCCTTGCGGGACTGGGCTTGATTTGGGGGACTGGAGGGTACTAGGAAGCGAGGTAGACGGGGGTCAGGGGCTGCCCAGGTGAGCCAGGGCAGACAAGGAGCTGGTACTGTAGCCCTGGCCCTCCTCTGCCAGCAGACAGGAGGCTACAGTGTGTCCCAGTCACATGGCACACAGCCAGCTAGTCCTTTCCTCTTGCCTCCCAGGGACCTAGCTCTGCAGTCTGTGGTCCCTCTTTGGTCCCCATCCCAGCCAGGGATGCCCACACTCCCGCCAGCAGCTCAGCCTAACACGGCCCCACTCTTACCTATCTCTTGCCTGTCAGCATCAGGCTCCTCTTTCACGCTGCAGCTGAGCTGGGCAGACCCCTTGGTCTGGGCATCCTGTGGTCCCTCCCCAGAAGCTTCCCTGAGGGGCTCCACTATCCCTGAAGCGGGGGGGCTCCCCAAGGACTCCTCTGTCTTCTGTGCTACCGCAAACACTGCTTGCTTCAAAACATGGGCTGTGATCTGAAGGGGAGAGGCAAGTCACAGGGGCTCTAGTCTCACTCTGTCCCTCCAACAAGCCAATACTGGCCATACTCACCCAGCCCAGCAGCTGCCCAGGGTCATTCTGCAGCCCCTCAACCAGGGCTGCAGCCTCCTCAGGGCTACCTGGCCACTGCCCCCGCACCCAGGCTTGGATCTCAGGGGGCAGTGCGCCCAGGAACTGCTCCAACACCAGCAGCTCCAGCATCTGCTCCTTGGTGTGCACCTCAGGCCGCAGCCACTGGTGGCACAGCTCGCGCAGATGGGCCAGGGCCTCGCGGGGACCCGCTGCCTCCTGGTAGCAAAACCCCCGGAAGCGCAGGCGAGCTGCATCAATCTCCTCTAGGGTGGCTGTGGGGTCCATGGAGGGCAGGCATGGGGGGCCAAGTGAGGATGGCATTGTTGTGCCGAAGTCTTCTTGAAGCCGCGGAGAGACCTGCAGAAAAGGAGGAATCAGAGTGCAAGCCAAGAGGCCACCGCCTGGGCAAGGCAGACGCCTGCAGACAGGACCAGCCTTGGGGCTGAGGCCAGGACAGAGAGGACCCTGGTGGGGATGCATCATGGAGAGGAGTCACAGGAGCTGGCTGTTGTTGGGAGCTGACAAGTGCCTGGAAGCAGGTTGTCCAATGGAGCTTCCAGGAAAATGCCAACATTTGGGTAGAACAGGGAACTGCTGGGAGATGATGGTTGACAGGTAGTCATGGGGAGTCATCACAGGCTTCCAAGGTCAGGCTGAGGAGCCAGGGGACGTGCCCAGTAGAGGAGGGAAGGAAGTAGTCAATCCACAGGAGGCTGAGGGACAGGAAGCCAGGGAGGTGGTGATTCAGGGTGGGAAGGGACAGTGGTTGTCGTGGGGCCAGGCTGGCTATGGCGGGACATGCTGACTAAAGTGGGCACCCTAAGGGACTGGCTACAGGGACGGGGCACGTCTGTGCCCTAGGGTGAGGAAGGGGCTGCCGTGGACTCCGAGCCTGCTGACCATACCGAGCTGTGGATGACCCACATCATCTGCGCCATGCATGTGAAAAGCTAAAGCAAAGCAAAACCATGAGCTGCGTGGAGTCCTGAGCCGGCAACTGTGACCGGCAACTGTGACCGGGCCCTGAAGGGGGTCTGGAATGAAACGCCCACCTGGGGAGCCTTTCAGACTGGCTCCACCAGGCCTGACCCCTGGAGTCGGTTTCCCAAAAATGGAAGAGGAAGGAAGTCTTCTCAGAGGAGGCGGAGCGGTGTTCTGGGTGAGAGGAAAAGTCCTGAGCAAAGGTTCTGAGTGGGGCACGCAGGGCATGCCGGGAGGTAGGCGGGCGCTCCCAAGCGCAAGGACCAAGAGCCAGCCGGGTCATGGTAATGGAAATCGCGCCCAGCCCAGCCCGGACCGCGCTCACCTCAGCCTCAGCGTCGGTGTCGCGATGCCACTTCCGGTAAATGGCACCGCCCCGCCCCCGCCTACCTCTTAGAACGCCCAGCCCGCGCGTTGCCCTGGCGACGCTGCTCTGGCAAATCACACTCATGCGCCAAAGACACCGTCCCCCGCCCCCACTACGTTTCCCATGAGCCTCAGCAAGCAAGGACAGGCGCAGCCTCTGCCAGCGGATGCTCATTTTCGGAGGCTTCTCATGACTGAGGTGCTCCCTTCCTCGTCCTCTGCAAAGGAGCAGAGTTTGGAGGGCTCGCTCCCCTCACTGGAGGCCTCTCTTCCCTCACTGGAGGCCTCTCTTCCTTTACATCCGAGCCCTAGGACTCACCAACTACCGAGATGGACGGTACGTTAGAATCCTGCGCATGTGCACAACACACCTGGCTCCTATTGGTAAGCGAGGTGAGGAGCGTCATGACGTATTAACCAATCAGAGCTTGCATTCCGCCTAGGACCCTCTCCCAGCGCTCTTCCTGAGGCTTCCTTTTGGTCGCCCATCTGTTCCCTTGGTAACCACGAAAGCAGAAGTTTCCAAGGCAACGGCTGGAGCGTCGCCCTGCCCTCCCTGGAGGCCAGAAGTGACGGCCTGGGTAATGTACTAGTTCGGCAGAAACTAGAGTCCGAGTGGTCCCAGAAGGAAGCGGGGTTCGCCTGAGAAGGCCGACCTGATCCATGGGCCTTTTCCAGGGAGGAGGATGCTGGGGTCCTTCTTTCGACCTCCGCTGAGCGCCCTTCCCCTGTGGGCACCCATTTACTGATGAGAAAACTGCCCCATGATTTATACCTAATCTGACATCTTCAGATATCATCAGTACTGTGCTGCAAAGGGAAGGATGGAGATTTTTGTCCAGGTTTATGTGACATGCTCAACCTTTTACTTACTTGGGGAGCCAGAACTAGTAAGGTGGCCATTATTTTTAGTTTATCTCAACAGGCAGTGTTATCCTTTTAAAAATCTGACTGTGGGGCTGGCCGAGTGGCGCGATGGTTGGGAGCTGGCTTGGGACGCTGGAGGGCCCCGGTTCGGATCCCACATTTGAGGGCCGGTGACACGGCCCTCCACACACACACACACAAAAAAAACAGAAAAAAAAATTGACTGTGGGATAGGGCCAGTTTTGCTTCCATACATCAGGTGGCTGAACCGTGACTTGTTTATTCAGTCCTAAATTGCATCTACCTGTTTGTTTTGGTTCCTTCTGTTACCTAGGAATCCCTGGATGCCAGCTTGTCATGATTTGAAGCTCTGAGCATGTGCCTGGCTGGGGCCTGTCAAGTCTTCCCAGGAGTGTCATGAGATTGGGCTGTTTTGTGGGGGCTTAGGTCTTTCCTCTGGATTGTGTGGATGCTCCAGAAATAAGTCTCCTGCCATCCACCGTGTAAATAGAGAGCTGAAGCTCTTACAGCTTCTCCAGTATTTTCCCACCTGTCATAATTTAGGTCTCCCCTTAGGGGGTGGCTGGTTTTCAAGCCTTCTGAAGTTCTGCAGCGTAAGACTGGTGGGACCTCTGTCTACTTTGCACAGTGGCAGCTCACTATCTGAATTACCCTAAGTCGTGACTACTCCTGCATCCCCATCTAGCTTCAAAATACCATTGTCATTGCCTTCTCTTTCACCATCCTCATCCTCATAAACCCACAGGGTTTGTGTTTTAAACTCTCTGTGGTTTCAGTGGGCTTTTTTTTTTTTAAAGATTTTTATTGGGGGAATTGGGGGATGGGAACAGTGCTGGGGAATTGGGGGAAGGGGAACAGACAAGTTGCCATCCTTTTGTTCTTCAGTCTAGTTGTGGAGGACGTTGCTTCACTGGCCCATGTTGGTATTATCATTGCGCTCTTCCCGGGTGAGGCAGATCAGTCGCCGGCTTCTGGACGGCCGCTCACGTTGGCTGCTGGCCACACATGGTAGCCCATGGCAACACACTGCAGCAGGGGCTGCAGCCTATGCCGTCACCGGCGACTCAAGGCAGCCCAGCTCCAGGTTGAGCTGTTGTTCAGCATCTTAGCTGTAGAGGGCAGTGTCACTGGCCCTCATATGTGGGATCCAAACCGGGGCCCTCTGGCGTCCCAAGCCAGCTCTTAACCAATGCGCCAATTGGCTGGCCCTCCGTGGGCTTTTGAACCAAGTGAGAAGCATGTATTCAATTCAACATCCTGACCCAGAAAGACCGGAGACACTTAAACTCACAGCCTATTCAGGGTTGAGCAGCCAGCCTGGCAGTACAGGGCCCAACATGCCACAGAGGTTTGGGGGAGAGTAACAGGGGGAAGTTGGGTGCTCAAGACATGGGGGAAGGAAGGTGCTCATGGTTGCTGGAACCTCCACAGGAACAGGGTGGAGGCCACTGACTAGTCCGGGGTAGTGGGAGGGGTGGATTGGTGGAAGGTGGGGGAACAGAGACCCAGGGCCTTACCCAGGAGGAGCTCAAGGAACACGGGAGGAGGCTGGTTGAGAAGCAGGAAAGGGCATCAGACCCAGCATGACGGCTCAGGTTGGAAACTGGGCTCCCTGGCATGTCCCAGGTGCAGAAAAGGTTGCATGTGATTCTAGGTACCCACTTGGAGTTCAACAGATGCTTTTGCTCTTGAATCCCATGGGTCCCCAGAAGAATCCTCATCAGGGTGTGTCTGCATTTCACAGGTGTCCAGACTGAGGCGGATGTGACCTGTTCAAGGCTCCCTCATGGAAGCCAGCCTGGGGAAAGGTAAGGGTAGGGACCAGAGCAGAGCAGAGAGGATGAGTCCAGGAGAGGTGGACTATGGCTCAGGGTCCCACAGGGTATCAGGAAGCCTGGCTTGGAGGACCTGCCCTTGAAGGGTCTTGGGGAGCTGGGTCCTACATGACTCCTCTCCACACCCCCATCTCCCCATCCTTGTAGGAACTTGTGAGGTTCCTGGGGTGGAAGATAGGTCCTGCTGGAAGGTGGGGAGTAGGAAGACCATGTCTGTGCTGTGTATGACAGATGGCTGTGAGGTCTTTTTTTTTTTTAAGATTTTTATTGGGGAGTTGGGGGGATGGGAACAGCGCTGGGGAATTGGGGGAAGGGGAACAGACAAGTTGCTGTCGTTTTGTTCTTCACTCTAGTTGTGGAGGACGTTGCTTCACTGGCCCAAGTTGGCACCATCATTGCGCTCTTTCTGGGCGAGGCAGATCAGTTGCTGGCTTCTGGACAACCGCTCACGCTGGCTGCTGGCTACATACGGTAGCCCATGGCAACCTACTGCCACAGGGGCTGCAGCCTACGCCGTCGACGGTGACTCACGGCAGCCTAGCTCCAGGATGAGCTGTTGTACAGCCTCTTAGCTGTGGAGGGCAGTGTCACTGGACCTCATATATGGGATCTGAACCGGGGCCCTCTGGCGTCCCAAGCCAGTTCTTAACCATTGCGCCACTCGGCCGGCCCGGCTGTGATTGGCCAGGAGCACCCACTGGACTGGGGTTAACCTTTTGGGTTACTGTGGCCTCTGACTCAGATTCCACAGCTTGGATCCACAAAGGCCCAACTCCTAGAAGAGCTGCTATTTGGGGCAGCCCCACCCTGTCCAGGTCTCCTGGTGCCCCGCCTCCAGCTGCCAAGGGGACACAGTTATCCCAGCCCCTCAGTGAGCTAGACAGGCTGCATCTCTTCCCTGTGGCTTCTCAAAGGGACCCAGGTTGAAGCCAAGTCCTCACAGCTCTGTGACAATGATATGCCCTGAGGGCAGGTCTGCACTGTGCTAGGGTGAAATCTGGCTGTTACCATTCATTCACACGTTTTTTTTTTTAAAGATTTTATTGGGGAATTGGGGGAGGGGAACCGCGTTGGGGAATCGGGGAAGGGGAATAGACAAGTTGCTGTCCTTTTTGTTCTTCACTCTAGTTGTGGAGGACGTTACTTCACTGGTCCATGTTGGTATTATCATTGCACTCTTCCTGGGTGAGGCAGTCACTTGCCAGCCATTGAATGGCCACTCACAGCAGCTCACAAAAGTGCACGCCAGGTGCCGGCCAGCCCCACTGCAGCCTACGCCATTGCCGGTGACTCACAGCAGCCCCACTCCAGGTCAAGCTGTTGTTCACCATCTTAGCTGTAGAGGGTGCAGCGTCACTGGCCCACATGTGGGATCATAACCCCAGGCCCTGCTGCTCAGGCGTCCCAAGGCAACTCAACCAATGCGCCACTCGGCCGGCCGTTTGTTTTTTAAATATAGATTTTTTCTTTTTAAGTGGTGAAAGAGCAGTTTATTAGAAGAAAAAGTACACTTCAAAGAGGTAGAAGCGGGCCCAACAGAAAGGAGTGGCTCAAGGGCCATTATTAGAAGAGAAAGTACACTCCAAAGGGACTGGAGTGGGCCTGAGCAAAAGTGTGATTCAAAAGATTCAAAAGGCTCAAAGGGCCAAAGGCCTTTTTTTTTATAAAGATTTATTTGGGGAATTGGGGAAGGGGAACAGCCAAGTTGTTGTCCTCCGATCTTAGTTGTGGAGGGCGCAGCTAGCTCAGCTCTCAAGTCCAGCTGCCACCTGGCCGCCCATCGGCAGCTCGCGGCCACTCAGCTCAAGGTGTCGTGTTCAATCTTAGCTGCAGGTGGGCATAGCCCACCATTCCATGTGGGAGTCTAAACAGAAACCTTGTTGCTAAGAGTGCATGCTCTAACCACTGAGCCATTCAGCTGCTTGTCAGCAGCTCAGCTCAGGCACAGCTCACTGGCCCATGTGGGACTCGAACTGGCAACGCTGTTGCTTAGAGCTTGCACTCTTAACCAACTAAGCCACTTGGTCAGCCCCCATTCACACATTAAAAAAACAAAAACCTTTATCAGGGAGCCTCTCTGGATTCGATGGGAGGGGAGGTTAAAGCTGTGCAACAATTTACAATATATGTCCGTTTCAAGTTGTAACTTCTAGTCTTTTTTTCCCAGTAAAAAGACCATTAACTTCCCTAGGCATGAGACAAGAAGACAAGATGGACCTCAGTCTGCTAAGGGCCACAGGAAGCAAACTGAGCACCCCTGCACCTGTCTGCCTCAGTGTGCCTGTTGTGTGGAAGTGTCACACTGAAGGCGGATCTTGGGAAGGTATCACGTATGGCCAGAGAATAGGTGGGCATGTGGCCCCCGGGCCCTGCAGAAATGAGCAGCCCCATCTTGTGTCCTCTAAACCTGTCATTTCAGTCACCTCCTGTCATACAGTGGGATGTAAAGGCTCCTATCACCTTGACTTTGGTAACAGGATACAGCAATGCTGAGGCTTGGATGAGAATTGGAACGATTGTGGCTGGGGAGCCATAATTCTCCATCTGTCTTTCCCAAGGACCTCCGCCTCCCGTGGGTCAGCCATGCTCAGGGAACCAGGCCAGGCCTCACTTGGCCCTCGCAGTAAGCAGACTAGAACATCAGGGTGCAGTGGTAAGCTGCCTGGATGCCAGGCCTGGCTCTGCTGTGTGCAACTCACACCCCTTCTCTGTGCCTCAGTTTCCTCCTACAAGAAGCGGGGATACCACCCACAGCAGCCACCTCACAGGGCTGTTTGGAGCCATTTCACAGCACTCAGAACAGGAACTGGCACTTGGCACATGTTGGCCTTATCAAGAGCCTGTCTGTCAGGATACGGCAAATACCCTCTGAGTCTGGAATTCGTTTTTTCCCCAAGAGGAGGAAGCTGAGGCTCAGAGCCAAAGGCCAGCATCAACCCCAACATGACCTTTCGCCCACTGGGCCCGCTCCCAGGAAGCCTTGGATGAATCCAGGCCTGGGGGTAATATCCTGAGTGTCGGCAAAGCAGCCAGTTTGTGTGGATGTAAAAAACTTCTCCGAACTGTCTCCACTCTATCCTGGCACTGCCATCCCCATCTTAGCACCCAGTCATGATAATGTGAGCAGTGGCGCCACCCTGTCATCCTGCCACTCACTGGCTTTGCAATGTCTCAGCCCCACCAAAGTCCTAGCCTCTATATCCCTCCTCCCGACCTTTCTGCAGGGGATGAAGGAGTCAGCTGTGGCTGAAGTGGCAAATCCTGTCACCATATGCAGATAGAATTGCAGTGCACACACAGGGCCTTTGCAAAGGACCCTGTCCCTTAGCCATGGAAGGGACTCAGGAGAGGTCGAGAGGTCGGAAATGAGATATGGGACCTCAGGCCTCAGCTGGCTTAGGCACCACAGCGAGGCCTGACCTGGGAGTAGGCCTGGCTTCCCTCCCAGGCGTGCCAGCTGACAATGCCCCCGGAGGCTTGGTCTGGGAGCTCAGGCCCGCACTGGCCCTGAGCCTCCGCACGGGTTTCTCACCTGTGTGGGTCCTCTGGTGGTGGAAGAGGGCAGGGCGCTCACGGAAGGCGCGGCCGCACTGAGTGCACACGAAAGGCTTCTCGCCTGTGTGGATGCGCCGGTGGCTGAGCAGCACGGCGCCCTTGGCGAAGGCCTTGCCGCAGTCCCCACAGCGGAAGGGCCGCTCGCCCGTGTGCAGCAGCTGGTGCTGTGTGAGGTTGGAACTGTGGCTGAAGGCCCGGCCGCACTGCGCGCAGGTGAAGGGCTTCTCGCCAGTGTGCACGCGCTGGTGCTTGAAGAGCGAGGAGCCTTGGCTAAAGGCAGCCCCACAGAGCGCGCAGGCGTACGGCTTCTCGCCTGTGTGCGTGCGCTCGTGCTGGATTAGGTGTGAGTTGCGGCAGAAGCGGCGGCCGCACCGTGCACAGGCATAGGGCCGCCCGCCCGCATGGATCTTGCGGTGCTGGCTGAGGTTGGAGCCGTGGCTAAAGGCCTTGCCACACTCTCCGCAGCGGAAGGCCTTCTCCGCCGTGTGGATGCGCTGGTGTCTCACTAGCGAAGAGCTGTGCCGGAAGGCCTTGCCGCAGGCCATGCATGCGTAGGGTGTCTCACCGCTGTGGATGCGCTGGTGCTGCGTCAGGTGTGACGTCTGACTGAAGGCCTTGCCGCACTGCGCGCACTCGTAGGGCCGCTCCCCGGTGTGCGTGCGCAGGTGCTTGAGCAGGTCGGAACTCTTAACGAAGACTTTGCTGCACGCCCTGCATTCGAAGGTTTTCTCCCCCGAGAGGAGGCCAGGACCGGTAGGGAGGGCCTCACCCAGCTCATCCCAGGTCGGGGGCTCCTGGTAGGCAGGGAGTCTTTGAGGCTCCTGCCACACCACCCGCACTCCTCGATCCCCCTCAGCGTGACCGGCCTCGAGATCGGGGTGGCCTGGGAAGGTTCTCCCCGGGGTCTCCTGCGGGGACGGCTTCTGCCGCTCCGGCGCCCTTGGCTGCTTTCCTGGCCCCAGGTGGTCTGTGAGGGCTTTCTCTGTGGTTGGGCTGCCGGTGGTAGCCTTAAGCCGGGAGGTCAACCGCAGACTGACACTGGCCTCACCACTGCCGGGGCCTAGCAGGAGCCTTTCCCAATAGATCACGGAGACCCCCGAGGGTTTTCTCTCCCGGGATGAGGAGGTGGCCGGCCGACTCCCCAGGCTTTTCCCACCCATGCTGACAGCAGTGGTGGGAAGGACCCTGGTGTTCTGGAAGGTCCTTGGCCACACTGCTTCTCCAGAAATATCTCTGTTCTCTGCCAGATGCTGGGAACCTGAAGGCACAGAGACAATGGATGCCTGGGGGTCATCCTTACCAGGAGGAGGTGACCAGGGCAGACCGAGCGGGTGGGCAAGGGAAACCCTAAAGTCTGGGTGTGGAAGCTGGGGAGAAAAGGAGCCAGACACCCTTCCTGCTTTTGTTCCTTACACTGATGGCTCCCTGATGCTATAGTTTTACACACAAACTGTTTACTGACTGCCTGTCCCCTACCACGGTAAATCCCACGAAGGCAGGACCAGGAGCATCCTGGTCAAGGCTGCACCCGCAGTGCCAGAAACAGGACTGGCCACTGCAAGTGCTCAAGAACAATGAACACATGAAGGAAGGAAGGAATGGCCCCACAGATAAGGTGGTAAGGTAGGACAGGGAGACTTTGAGGCCACACACCCTGGCTTACAGTAGGCTTCTGAGCAGGTCTTAGCACATCCTGAGGGTGCTCTTGGAGCTCCCCCTGAGGGCAGCCAAGGCTGGAGCCTTCAGGAGAGGCTAATGGTAGAAGAACAGAAGGAAATCTGGTGGGAAGCAGGAGAGGAATATGTCCAGGAGGGTGGGGAGAGGGGACAGAAGCTTGGCCATAGGTTGACCCCACTCACCAGGGCTGGGCCTCCTCTGGTTGTTCCTGGCCAAGGTCACATCTGTCCCACTGAGGACCCAGGGCTCCTCACCATGTTCAAGCTGGATGACTACACGGGGTCGGGAGGCAGAGAGTCCTATGAGACACAAGCAAGTGAGAGGCCAGCCCCAGCTCAGGACAATCAACTGCCCAAGAGATGGTAGGTGTCAGGTCTTCATGGGACATAGATGCTATCATTTGTGTAACCAAGAAAACCCACAGGTTGCACCACAAGTCAAGGCTCACAGAAACAGCTCAGTGGTGCCTGTGAAGAGAAAAGTGTTGGCAGCGCCAAAGGAAAGGTACTGAGTCCAGGTACAAAAGTGCCACAGCCGGACAGGGATACTCAGCCAGTGGGTGTGGGGCTGTTCACAGGCTGCCAGGAGGTAAGGGGTTAGTGCTGCTGAACCAACCTGGCAACAACTGAGCTTTCCCATGGAGGACCCAGGGTCTTACCCAGCGAGGCCAGAAGCGCAAAGTTGTCCAGCATCACGTGGCGGTACAAGGCCCTTTGGGCTGCATCCAAAAGGCCCCACTCTTCCCTGGAGAAGTACACAGCCACATCTTCAAAGACCATCAGGCCCTATAACAGTGGGCAGGGGAAGATGGACATAATCTAAGCTATGGCCTTGTGACCCAGGACCCAACTCCCTGTCCCAATGGCTACATCCCCGATGTCCCTCAAACGTTCACCTTTCTCCCCCAGAGCTCTGCAGATGCAACTTCCCTCACCTGTTTGGGCCCTCTCCCTATCTAGGCCTTAGATGTCCCTGCTGAATATGCCTGACCTTTTAAAGGCTGCTGCCCCAGCCTGAAGGACTGGCTGATCCCTACCATTCTCCAGAGGGGTGGCCTGAAGGATCAGGTGGGCACACAGGAGCCAGTTCCCTCTATTTCCTCCTCTCTTGGCTACCACCCTCCCTTTCCTCAGCCCCCTGCCAGACTTCCTGAGTGCCACAGAGACTGCCAGCATCTCTTGATCCCTCTAGAGCCCTAACTGCCCATCCCTAGATAAGTCCATGAAATCCCCTCCTACGTTTTGATTCCCAGGGCCTGCTTCGGCTCAGAATACCAGGACTCTGTCTTAGGATATCTACAATTCCAGGTCCACGTGATGCCTCCATTCTAGGACACAGCAGACTCTTCCATATTTTCCCCTGAACCCTGCTCTTTCCCTTCAAATTTTTTATTTTGTCTGCAGCAGCTCCATACTTCTGGTGCTCAGACTAAAAAACTTGATGGTCCTTCATTCACACCCTGCACCTGATGATCAGTAGATCTATCCAGAATTCAACTGCTTTCCTGTCTCCACTGAACTAATATGGTCCACGTGCCATCATTGCCTCCTCCCTGCACACCACCCCCCTCCTCTGTGCCTCTTCTCCACTCGGGAAACGGTGGGATACGTTAAAAATCCTAATTTAAAGCATGTCCAGTTTCTGTTCAAAATCTTACATGGTTTCCTGCGCCCTTGGGATAGTCCTAACTCCTCCGCTTGACTTTCAGATATACCTGTCTTCTCACCCCGAGCGCCACATTGAGAAGCTCAGTTGAGGAAACACCTAGGTTGTCACCCCTCCCAGCTTTTGCACGAGCGGGATCCTTCATTTGGAACTTCCACACCTCACCCCCTTGGGGCCTAAGGCGAATCAAGGGCCAAGACGTCCAGGTAAAATCCCTCCCTCAGTTGGGGCTTAAGTCCATGTAAGTGTGGTCCCAGTGGGTGGGAGGTCTGGGACTCTACAAACCTGTGCCGCTGCGGACATCGAAACCTGCACTTGAGGCGGCCGATCCGGACGCCCCAGCTCCTAGCCTGTCTCCCGATCGGTCAAGGGCGCAGACGCCCAGGGCGACGCCTCCAGAGCGCCCCAGGGGCCGAAGAGCACGTGGCTCTGAGAGCAGCCCGAAGGCCCCACGGGGTCGCCCACGCTACCCCCGGAAAAACCGAGGCTTGGGAGCGAAGCCGTCGGCCCGCGGTCGCGGCTCCCGCGAAGCGAACCCTGCGCCCACGCCTTCCTCGTGTCCTCGCCTCGGGTCTCCAGAACGCCTGGATATCTGGCCAGACAGCGACGCTCAGCCCGCAACACCGGTCTAGTCCGACGCCCGGCAGCAAAGTGACAGTCCCGGGCGCCGGAAGTCCGGCCCCGTCACCCTCATTGGCCCAATGTGCATGGCGCAACGCCTTCTGGGAAGCGTAGTTTCCTGCGGCTTTCCGCGCTGGAAGGCGATGCGCTTTCGGATCTCCAGGGCAATGGCCAAACATCACTGCGCGGGGTGCTGGGAACTGGAGTCCTAGGCTTCCACGCTCCAGCTTCCACGGGGTCGTTCTGTTGGGGTCCTAGGGTATCCACGCCCATAAAAGCGGCACCCGACTAAACGCTGGAAACTACTGAGGTTCCAGAGGCGACCTCAGTGCGGAGCACTAAGTACAAAGTTAACAGGAAGGGTGGGTTAGGAAGGGGAGGAATTCCAACCTCTGCTTTGCCTCTGGGCAGCTGTGTGCGCTCGCCCCCCTCCTCCGGTGCAGGGGTCTGAACTCTGTGCGTCAGTGTTAAAGAAAAAAACGTAGACCCAAGATGGTGTCGCTCCTGCCAAAAACCTAGGATACCAAACATAGATTTACTACCTGATCTCATTGCAGTTTCAGCCTCTCTCAGAAAACATAATCAACCAGACTGGAATTTTCTGGTCAACACCAGTAAGGTAATCTATCACATGGACCCTCTCCAACCCATCCCCCTCAATAGAAAAAGAGGCAATCTGTATGATAAAAACCCTTCCTGTTCTCCTCCCCCAAAGAAAAGACATCCTTGCTCAAAATACTTCCTTTTCTTTGTCAATAGCTCCCTTGCCCCACCCTGCTTCCTATAGAAACCTTCCAGTTGGTACAACCCCTGAGAGCACCCTTCTGGTTGCTAGATGGGATGCTGCCCATTCATGAATCACTTAAATCAATTAGGTCTTCAAATTTACTTGGTTGAATTTCCTTTTTTAACAAGTCCCTTTGCTATCAGAAAAATTAAATGTCAATGAAAAACAGAAGAGGAAATGGATTGTGGACTGAAAAGGGGCCACATATTAACCTGACAGCTCAGGAGACTGAAAATAACCACCACATAAGATGGCGTGAGCATGAAAAATGTCATAACTAAGTGGGCCATGGTGTGAAGTTGTATCTTAAGCTTCCTTCATAAAGTTAATCTGTGCCTTTTCAGAGGGCTTGTCTGTTATCTTTTTGCACCTAAGATAACATCTTTGGAATGTCAGTAATCCTTTTTCCAGACCAGAGCTGGAAACTAAAAATTCCTGTTGCTCTTTCCGTCTACTGCTACAGCAACGAGAGGAGCTGTCGCCATGTCCGCACATCTACAATGGATGGTCGTGCGCAACTGCTCCAGCTTCCTGATCAAAAGGATCAAGCAGATATACAGCACTGAGCCCAATAATCTGAAGGCCCGCAGCTCATTCCGCTACAATGGGCTGATTCACCGCAAGACAGTGGGCGTGGAGCCAGCGGCCGAGGGCAAAGGTGTGGTGGTCGTCATGAAGCGGAGATCCGGCCAGCGAAAGCCAGCCACCTCCTACGTGCGGACCACCATCAACAAGAACGGCCGAGCCACCCTCAGCAGCATCCGGCACATGATCCGCAAGAACAAGTACCGCCCGGACTTGCGCATGGCTGCCATCCGCAGAGCCAGCGCCACCCTGCGCAGCCAGAAGCCCGTGACGCTGAAGAGGAAGAGGGCTCGCCCCACCGAGAGCTCCTGAGCACCTCCCCCCCAAAACAATAAAGTATAAAGCATCAGCCAACTTTCTCAAAAAAAAAATAAAATTTCCTGTTATTATGCTTGTCTCCTGATTAGCAACTCTATGTGCTGAATGTTAACTATCCTGCATCCACCTATGTAAAAGAAGTACCTGTCTCTCCAATTTACTTTTATCCTATCCAAAGATTTCCCCCTGCTTTACTTTCTCCCACCTCCTTAATCTATCACCAATGGATTTCATGTAACTTTTGTCCTTTGATTTTTATGTATAAAATAAGCTGCAAACTGCCATTTTGTGGAGCATTTGCTCAATCCGTTGAGGTTTTGCTTTCTGATAATTGTCATCAGTTGGCTCAAATAAACTCTTACAAGTTTTCTCTTAGGCTGGATGTTTTTCATTGACATTACTTTGTGTAGTCAGACAGGATTCCAAAAAGCCCACCCAGGAACACCCTGCAGATACAAATTTGGTGCTAGGTACCAGCAGGGGCCCATTGTACCCCCTGGCTCCCTGCTTTGCATCTGGTGAACTTGGGTAAATTTTTCTTGGAATTCCTGACCTCCCCGTTTTAAGTTAGGAGGCCCTGACTTCACTGCCTCTTTTTTTTTTTTTAGCTGAGCCATCCTGCCACCTGTTGGCAGCTCAGCTCGGGCCGTGAATTAAACCAGTGACCCTGTAGATCAGAGCTCGCATTCTTGAGTGAGATCTTAACCAACTGAGCCATTGGGCCGGCCCCAGGAGACCCTGACTTTATTTGAGTTGTTTTTAAATCCTCAAGGTGGCAGGGTTGAGATAACCCAGGTTAAGGACAAGAGTTAAGGTGACTCTTGGACAGGAAAAAACAAAATGGGTGTCTGGTTTTAATTTTGGCTTTTCAATTGGAATTGCTTAATGCAAGTCTGAACAAAATGTTTTGCCAGATAAATGACAGTCTGAACTTGTTCAATTACTAAGATAAGGGGCATTTACTCTCTCCAGTTCGAATTTCAGGCATTCTTAGGTGACTAAGAATCTTTGTGGAGGTGTTTGAGAGTACTCCTCAAAACGTGCAGTGGCCCCATAAGGAATTTCAACACAACTGTAAATAAATATTTGACTCGTTCGGGCACTCACACATAAAGGCTGGTTACCTAGCGCTCTGAGTCCTCACGGTTGTGCTAGACAGCTGGGGAGAGAAACTGAGTCATGTAAGAGGGTTAAAGGAAGTCGGGATGTTACAGCTGCTTGGAGCTCAACCCATAAGCAGCACAATTCAACCCACTACATAATATCACTAGATATTTGTTCAGACTCTGCAGATCTCAAAAGAAAACTAAAACTGGGCTGGCCGAGTGGCGCGTTGGTTAAGAGCTGGCTTGAGACGCCAGCTCTGAACAGCAGGGCCCTGGTTTGGATCCCATATGGGGGCCAGTGACACTGCCCTCTACAGCTAAGATGGTGAACAATAGCTCGACCTGGAGCTGGGCTGCCGTGAGTCGCTGGCAATGGCATAGGCTGCAGCCCCTGCTGCAGTGGGCTGCCATAAGCTACCATGTGTGGCTGGCAGCCAGCGTGAGGGGCTGGCAGTTGGTGTGAGCTGCCAAGAGCCGCTGTGAGTGGCCATCCAGAGGCCGGCGACTGATCTGCCTTACCCGGGAAGAGCGCAATGATAATACCAACACGGGCCAGTGAAGCAATGTCCTCCACAACTAGACTGAAGAACAAAATGACAGCAACTTGTCTGTTCCCCTTTCCCCAATTGCCCAGCACTATTTCCCTCCCCCAATTCCCCAATAAAAATCTTAAAAAAAAAAAAGAAAACCAAAACTTAACATAGGAAATCGTGCCTCAAAGGCTGACAAACTCCCAGACTCCAACGTCATTAATTCTCCTGCAGATAGATGTACAGTTCCTAGAAGTCTTACAAGTACTTACATCATAAAAAGATTTATTTAGAAGTGATGTCAGCTTAAGATGGCCAAAATGGAGCTTTTTTGACATCTAAATATTTGTGTGCACAATTAGAAAAAGCCAGTTTAAAAGCCAAACTAAATGGAATGGGAGGTTTACATCAATTGGCAAATAGAAGCCTCTGAAATGGTACAGAGTTATGTTCTTCTCTCCAGGAAGTTAGTTTAAAAATTTTTTTGTTTTAAACATTTTTATGGAATTGGGTAGGGGAACAGTGTTGGGGAATTGGGGAAGGGGAACATTGTGTTTTTTCAGGACCCATCAGCTCCAAATCAAGTTGTTGTCCTTCAATCTTACTTGTGCAGGGTGCAAGCTCAGCTCTAAGTCCAGTCGCTGCTTTCAATCCAGTTGTGGCGTGGGGGCCGGGGTAGTCCACTATGCCATGTAGGATTTGAACTGGCAACCTTGTTGCACACTGAGCCATCTGGCTGCCCATTGTCAGCTCGCGACTGCTCAGCTCAAGGTGCCATGTTTAATCTTAGTTGTGTGTGTGTGTGTGTGTGTGTGTGTGTGTGTGTGTGGTGCAGCCCACCATCTTGAATGAGACCAGCTCATTCAACCGAACGCCCCTGGCTCGTCAGCCAGGAGCTCACCAAACGGGTCCCTGAGAGGATTGGGTGGGAGACGAGAAATAAAAGAGAAGAGAGACAAAGTGTAGGGACAGGAGGGACTCAGTCTGCTGGTGGCAAAACTGAGACCTCGTTTATTGGGCATACAAGATTTTTAAGGGGAAGCAATTTCCTCATTTTAGGGAGTGATTCCCTAAAGCTAAAACTCATGGGCTGAGGAGAAACAATTTCTCCTCAGCAACAAGCTATATTATATACAATATAAACCAATGATATAGCTAGGCAAGGTTAAACTGAGGCAAATAGGAACTATCCGTAAGTCCACAGTAGAAAGTCCCAAGCATGTGAAGCAGGTCCATGGTGGAAAGTCACAGAGTGGTGATGTATGTGAAACTGCAAGTCCATAGTCCATGAGCAACTGAGTCCCTTAGTCCATAAGTTTTTCTTATCAGCAAGCTGGGGTCTTTACTCTTTGCGCTTGCGTTGTCTGGAAGCAATTTAAGGCAGAAGCACTGTCCCACATGTCCCCACCAAACTGCTCCAAGGCCGCTCACCCCAGGCCTGTATCCACCTGGAGACCCAAGCTTGCCAACCTAAAGCCTCAGTGTCCCTGGCTGATTCCAGCCAGCTCCCAACGCCATCCCGTACGGGTGTCGAACCGGCAACCTTGCTGCTAAGAGCACGTGATCTCACCAGCTCAGCAGCAGCACAGCTTGGGCCACAGCTCATTGGCCCATGTGGGAATCGAACCGGTGACCATGTTGCTCAGAGCTCGTGCTCTTAACCAACTGAGCACTTGGCCTGCCCAAGAAAATGTTTGAGACTGTCTCTGAACTAAAGGTTCCTGAAGCTTCGGCTGTCCCAATGTGTGTTTTATTTGTCTGGACTTACTCTCCTTTTCCTCTCTCTCTCTCTCTCTATCTCTCTTTCTCTCTTCTGCACCTCTGTTGCAGCTCCCTTTGGAGAGGAGCTGGTCTTGGGTTGAGGGGAATCTGCGATTGTATGCAGGCAGAACTAAGAAATCTAAAGATCCCCCCAACTCTCATTAGGACCCTGATGAGTTCGCAACGGAATTTGAATTAATTGTTAGAACATATAATCCTGGCTTTTCTGATTTATTCCAATTAATGCACCTACTGGTCTCTGAAAGCAAAGCAACAGAATTAAAGTTTTGCTTAGGAAATTCCTGTAGAGGAATGTGATTTATTGTAAAAAGTCAGGTCACCTTAAGGACTGTAGAAAACTAAAATAACGTTTAGAAAAAGAAAGAAAATAGAAACAAGCATAGGGTTGCTCCAAGGACTATGAGGGCATTTCCTCTTCTTACTAATACTGGGGCTACTTTATCTGTTAACACCACACGGCTAAGTGCCCTCTCCCTTGGAGTAAACCTTCTGTACAAATGGTAGGGATATCTAGTCAATGTCTGTTTTTAAATCAGAACCTGTTCCCTTTTAACTAGGAAATGTTAAGGGGCAACATCTATTTTTATTACTCAAATCTGCCCCAACTCACCTGATAGTGTGAGACTTTCTAACCAATGATGCTCACATATCCTCCCAGAAGGGTGAAATGTATTTAGGACTCAATGAATCAGATTGGGAAATAAAGATTTTAAGAGACAAACTAATAGGAACTGGGAAAGTTATAGAAGGTTTGTAAAGGAAAATCTTGAAAGAATTTTATGTATGGTTAAGCTAAATGCGATTAAGTAAATTTAAATATCAAAAGTAAGCTGGTGCAAAATTAAGTTTTCTCTTTCTGCTAAGTAAGAGAAAGTTTGTTACAACACTGTTGGTCTGCTACTGATATGAAAACGTTTTCTGCCTCAAAGGCAAAAATTATGTGCCATCAAAATATTTTTCTCGGGGGCCGGGCGAGTGGCGCGATGGTTAAAAACTGGCTTGGGATGCCAGAGGGCCCCGGTTTGGATCCCACATATGAGGGCCAGTGACACTGCCCTCCACAGCTAAGATGCTGAACAACAGCTCAACCTGGAGCTGGGCTGCCGTGAGTCGCCGGCGACGGCGTAGGCTGCAGCCCCTGTGGCAGTGGATTGCCATGGGCTACCGTGTGTAGCCAGCAGCCAGCGTGAGCGGCCAGCAGCCGCAGTGAGCGGCCGTCCAGAAGCCAGCGACTGATGTGCCTCTCCCGGGAAGAGCGCAATGATGGTGCCAACTTGGGCCAGTGAAGCAACGTCCTCCACAACTAGACTGAAGAACAAAATGACAGCAACTTGTCTGTTCCCCTTTCCCCCAATTCCTCAGGCCGGCCAAGTGGCTCTGAGCAACAGAGCTGCTGGTTCGATTCCCACAAGGGACAGTGATGCTGCGTCTGAGCTGAGCTGTCGCTGAGCTGCCAACAGGTGGCAAGATGGCTCAGCTGGTGTAACAACAAGATTGCCTGTTCAATGATGGGCTATGCCCACCCACAACTAAGACTGAACTTGATATCTTAAGCTGAGCTGCCGCCCAGATGGTTCAGTGGATAGAGCGTGTGCTCTTAACAACAAGACTGCTGGTTCGACTCCCGCATGGGATGGTGGCTGCATTCACCCGCAACTAAGATTGAACACAGCACCTTGAGCTTAGAGGCCACGAGCTGCTGAAGAATAACAACTTGGCTGGTCCCTTCCCCAATTCCCCAATAAAACCTTTAAAATATTTTTTTCTATATTTTATACTGTCCTAGTTAGGTCTTTAGTTACTCAAGAGAACTGTTGGGTTGTTGGAAAAGTCATGACGCATTTTTGCAATGAAAAACATAGAAAAAATACGTCATGACTTTTCCAACAACCCAATAAACCTAAGAACTATTGGGTTGTCGGAAAAATCATAACGTA